TAATTAGGCTTTTTAAAGCCTCTAGAGTACTTTATATAGACTATTTCGTCTAAAAGGCTGTTTGTAAAGGCGTTTACAGCATCTAGCTGTATAGCTTCTAGGTTAAATTTAGCTAAAATAGCTATAATAAGCCTAAAGCTTCTAGCAGCTAGAGTAGCTGCATAGGTATCTTTTTTATTATAAGGTTGTTAGTCCTCTCTAACGCATAATCTAGCTTTTAGCTTAACTAGATAGCTGAATTTATCTAGCTTATACTTAAAGACCTAAGTAGTATCTAGGGCTTTAGATATAGCAAGATTTTCTTAAATAAGCTCGAACGTTCCTCGCTGCTAATTTGTACTAAATTCTTGTTTAGCGGCTTTTTGAAATTTCTTGCCGAATCTATAGTGCCTTAAATCTGACTATTTTAGCGGTTCAGGGGGCAAATTCGATATATAAAGGCTCTCTTTAGCTCCTTGGAAGAAGCTGCTTATATAAGCTTGCTTAGTCAGCCCTTTAGCTGCTAGCGCTATTTCCCGATTCGGTTTAGCCGCATCGCTAGCCTGAATTGCTATATCACTAGCCTGAGCTATATCGCTAGCGTTATTAGCTATATAATGCGATGCAGGGCTTAAATAGCCGAATTAATCCGTGATATCAGGTAGTCGCTCGGATAATTAATCTTCCGGTTCTAGCGGCTCCTCGGATAATAGTTGATCCGGCCGAATAGGTGGTTTTTCTATAGTTATTTAACCGGATAAAGGTTCTTCCGATCGACTAGAGTGTTGGATAGGCTCTTCAAGGTGTGTAAAATCCTCATATTCATCCTTATCTTCGATATGAGCCGGCAGTATCATGGTCTGAGCTATGCTCGACCCTAATGGAAGCGCAGCAATGGATGCACTGCACTGCAATGCGCGATAGAGGGACAAGCCCGTGCAAGGGACCTATATAGTGCCAGATTGAGCAAGCTGTGGACAGCTTGTTTAATACGTACTCTTTTGACTCAACGGTCAAGGGCTCCAGCATCGCTGGGATGACTGCGGCTGGCACCCGCTATTGCCCAATAGGGCTAGTCCATCACATTTGAACAAGCTTCCTAGGGTCGCAGGTTCGAGCCGCACGAAAAGTGCGAGGGATACTCAACCTGGGCTCACAAGGGCGATGCCGCCACCCTGCCCTTGGGGGGTGAGAGGTATAGGAGGCACAGAAGGGGGCTATATCATGGTCTGAGCTATGCTCGACCCTAATAGAAGCGCAGCAATAGATGCACTGCACTGCAATGCGCGATAGAGGGACAAGCCCGTGCAAGGGACCTATATAGTGCCAGATTGAGCAAGCTGTGGACAGCTTGTTTAATACGTACTCTTTTGACTTAACGGTAAAGGGCTCCAGCATCGCTGGGATGACTGCGGCTGGCACCCGCTATTGCCCAATAGGGCTAGTCCATCACAGGCAGATGGATTTCTATCCGGCTTTTAATAGGTTTAGGGCCCCCTATAGGGTAGATAGATGACTCATCAAAAGTCACATCCCTGACCCTTCTAACTTCGTTGCTAGAAGGTACCCAAATTCGGTATATATTTATTGAATTATAGCCCACTAAATAGCCTATTTCGGCGTGGGGTTCTGTTTTTAGGGCTTGTTTTTGATGACCTTGCATAGCTTGCTTAGTAAGCGGATAAGCCTTGCAGCTATAGGCCTTTAAATGCCCTATATTAGGTTTTAGATAGTTAGTATAGCTAGTATCTAGCTTATTTTCAGCTAGATAAGCATGTAATCTTTCGAAAGGTGTAGCCCAATAAGCGTTTTTAGGTTCTTCGTTAGGATTTTTAGGGTTTTTAGATATATAACGTCTTAGGGTTCTATTGTATAAATAGACGGCAGCTAACTAGAATTCAGGCTATAATTCAGAGGGTAAATTTAAAGATAGCCTTAAAACCCTAGCTTTAGTAGCTATAATACCCCCTAACCGTTCTGCAGGGCTATTTTGAGCAGAGGTATAAGGGGCTGTAGGCTTATCTATAATGCCGGTTTCAGCTAACTAAGCACTATAATCTAGTTGAAGGCCTAGATAGTTATCTCTGTAAATAATACAGATATTCTGCTAAAATTATGTCTTTATAAGGGCCTTTAGAGCTTTTAGGGCTTAGGGCCTCTAATATAGCCTCTTGTGTTATTAAATATAATAGATAAATAAAGATAATAGCAGTATAGCTATCTTTAGCTAATAATACTGCATTTTAACTATTATAGGCCTTTTCAAGCTGAAATATATTAATATAAAGCCTATAGAAAGGCCTAGAGCTCTAAATAGAAGGCCTTCTAGATATAATTCTAGTTGCCTTAGCTAGAGAGCATTTTTTACATTTAATAGTAGAAGGGCCTGTAATTTTAGTCCCTGTAGTAGCTTCTATAAGGTGTTCTAGGGTATCTTTATCTAGATAACTTAGGCGTTAGTGCTAGCATTCGGCAGATGCAGTTGTTAAAGTAATAAGTGTTTTTAAGTTATAAAAGCTAGCTGTAATAGCATTTTTAGAAGGTTCTGTTAAGGACTAGCCTTATAGGCTACTGTATGTAAGCATTACTAGTATTAACTATAAACTTAAGGAGAGAAAAGAGTCTAGTAGCTAAGTCCTAATTATAGCCTGCCTCTAATAGAAGGTCTAGGCTTGTTATATTTGTGTGAAAATTCAGTATATAGGCTGTATTTTGTAATATAAATAGCCTATCTAAGGTTTTTAGCTGAATTTTGCCGTAACCTTTAATTTTTAAATAGCTAGTGCCTAAAAAGGCAGTATCTTGTTAAATAGAAGGTTTATATTTAATAAATTAAGCTTTATTATTGCAAATATATATAGTAGATCTACTATTAAGAATAAAAGAGTTCTTTAGTAGATAAATAGTGTTATTTTCGTTAATATAATTCGTAGAAATAGTTGTAGATATAAGTATATCCTTAGTAGTAGCTTCTGTACTATTATTAGCAGCAAAAGCTACCTCTATAGAATTATCCTTTTCGTTATTAGTGTTTTTAGGTGCATTTTGCATCTTTTTCTTATTATATTTAATAGATCAGTTAATTTTCCCTTATAATTCGGAGTTTTCTTTTAGCTTATTAGCAATATTAGTACTAATAGCTTCCTTAGGCTTTCAATAAGAGGGCCTAATATTAGTATTAAGATAATAACACTAATTATAGTAGTAATATCGACCGCAAATGCATTTAGGTATAGGTTTTCCGTTATTTATAGTATTATTTGTATTATTAAGTTAATTAGGTTAATTAGGTTAATTATATTAATTATTAGAGCTGTTTTTAGAGCTTTTTTCGATAGATTCTTTGGAATTCTCTTAAAAGCTGGCAAAACTGCTCTTTATATTAAAATACTATTGATTTTGTTAATTTTGCTTAATAGAGCCCTATAGGTTTCTAGAACCTCTTTTTCGTAATCCCAAGATGTAGGTTTAATTTAATCTTTTAATAGCTTTAGTTGTATAGCTATATTAAATTCTGTTGAAATAGTATTGTAATAGTAACTAACTATGCTTATAATATGGCTCTGTATGTTATATATAGCTTTTTAATGGGCTAGATATAGCTAAAGCTAAATTTAATAGCTAGCTCTAGTAATATCTAGCTTTTTAAGGTCAGCATTAGTAAGGTCAGCAATATGCATAGCTATAGCGTTAATATCCTTATAGCTAGGCTCTTTAAGCCTTATAAGCCTATTATTATTAGTAGTATGCTTAATATTAGAGTTAATATAGTCCTAAATATCCTAGCTAATAGCAAATTTTTTAATAATAGAAATCTATTTATACTAATTAGTTAGGCCGGTTAAAGTAACCTTTTAGGAAGCCTCTATAGCGTTAGATTCTATTTTAATAGTTATATAGCAATTTTAAGCGTTTTTAGACGTTTTTGCCGGTTTAAATAGCGTTTTTATTAATATAGTAAATTAACATAGATTTCTGTGCAGAAATCGCTCCTTTTTATAGTAAATAGCTTGTTATATAAAAGCTTAGTTAAATAGGCGCAAATAAGTGTAAATTTTGTTAAATAATAATAGAGTTTAGAAAAGTAGGTTCTAGGTAGGTCCTAGGTAGGTTGCTTAATTAAATACTAAATTCTAATTAGTTAGAGGTTTAGCACTAAGCCTAAACAGAAATAGCATATTCCTAATAGAGTATAGTGCGTAGTATAGAGCTTGCAGCAACTAGGCTTATAACTATTAGCTAATTAAGAGACTCTTTATAATATAATAAAGATAATAGATAAAGCTTATATAATCTAGTTAATTACTAAGCATAAAATAATAGAGATTCTTAAGGTATAATAGAAGTAACTTTAGATATAGTATAAAATTATATATAATAGTATATATTAAAGAGTATAGTTATAAAGGCTTAATTTCCTCTCTATCTAGTTAGAGGAAAGAAGAGTTATTTATAGGTAAATTCTATAGTAGAGCTGCCGAATTAAGTATAGATAGTAGCTTAAAATAACCTTAGAGGCTAAAAATAACTCTTATAGCTGCTTTCCTGCTATAAAGTAGATTAGTCTTTATAGCTTATTAGTCTTTTTGTTAAATTCCAGCTAGTATTCCTCTTTTAACCTTATTTATATATGCAAAGAAATGTAGGCATAAAGCATATTAAATCCTTATATATAAAATGTATGTAAACGTTCCTTGTAGGTAATTTGTGTGCTGCAGTTGTTTCCCTTGTTTTTGTAGGTGTTTTTTATAGTAGGCAGTATCTGTCGCTGACATCCTGGTTTGTTTACCAAAGGGATGCATGCAACGACGCCATCGCTTCTCTCCCTCTCGGTCTCTCTTTTGTCTGTCCAGAGGAATTATCAGCGTGTTGATACCATCGACAACGCCTTGCCAAGTCTTTGGTAACCCTACCGTGCGTAACTAACCTACCTAAGTACATGAGAAGGTAGACGTGCATACGATCAACAAGCAAGCTTGAGCGAGCGTGAGGACTGTAATGCGCGCCAGCGTCGCGTTGGGCTGGACATAATTTCCAACGGATAAATCGGTGCGGCGACTCCTTGACCAATCACAATGATATGCATCTCATCATCCGTGCATCTCGGTTACTCCACGGGTTCCAAGCAAGGCAAAGTCGAGCTTCATCACAGCCCAACTACGGAGTATCATCGCGTGGCACCCAAGGAGGAAGAGTGAACCCGTCACCAGACGCTCGCCATGATAATAACCATCGAAGCAAATATCCGCTGCGATTCACACCTCATCTTACAGTCGTATCTCAGCCACCTCCCTTGTCCACTACTGTATAGTAAATCGGCCTTCTTTTTCGGGCTTGCTACAGCAAGGTTTTTAATCGACATCGTTGCTGCCAGACGGGCTGTGGAAGTCGTGGGCCGCACTCATGATGGTAGCATCTGCATAAACTCAAGTGCCTGGGTAGATACCGTTTCTGTTTTGTTTGTTTTGTTTTGTTGAGTTGATTGGCACAAGACGCCACGACAAAGATTGGCCAAGAGTACTCCGTACGTCCCGGGTGGGTCCTTGCCGGTCGTTCATGGAAGGGCGCTGGATCCATTCATTAGTCATCTTTCCAGAAGCTCGTGGCGCTTTTGTGTGGGGCGCCCACTTTATCACTGTGGCTGGCTGTACAGTGACCCAGTCAACTTCTCTCACAAAGTTGGCTACCCGACATCCTGGGGGCTGAGAGCTGCAACTCTGACCCGAAACCATTGACCAGTTTGCGAAATGGATTCAAACGATGTCGGAGCTGTCACAGAGCCGACCGCGCCCGTAGTGCTGTTCAAAAAACGAGGTCCCAAAGGCAAGACGAACATCAGAAAGCGGCCGGCGACACCACCTCCTGCCAACAGCGACAGCGACAGCGACTACACGTCGTCCGAAGACGAATCCGGGCAGCGTGTGAAGAGGCGGAAGAAGAATGCCGCAGTCACGGCCTCCTCCAAAGATGTCTCCGCCGCCGACAAGGACGTGAACGCAACAGTCTTCAAGGCAAACCGCGATTTGCCCATTTCGAGTTCAAACGATGCGACCAAGCAGAGCAACTGGTACGATGATGGCACAAGGGACGAGCTCTCTACGAATAACTTGCTCGGGTCCTCAAAATCAACAGCCAGACTTAGCCAGACTGACGGCGCATACAAGGGCCTGGCGAACCAAACATCCTTCATCCAGAAGAATCCCGATGCGCCGAGGAAGACAGTCGGACCCATCAAGGCGCCAACGAACATCCGAACTATTACTGTCACAGACTTCGCCCCTGATGTATGCAAAGACTATAAAAAAACTGGTTTTTGCGGTTTTGGCGACAACTGGTGAGTGCTTTTAAGCTCCTTGTCCCCCCCCCCCTCCTTGAATCGGCTCGCCGCCAATCGGCCACGAACTTGCTCTAACCACGTGTCTCGGTACAGTAAATATTTGCATAGCCGTGAAGACTACAAGCATGGATGGCAACTTGATAGAGAATGGGATACCGTGACCAAGGGCAAGAAGAGCCTGGCAGGCACTGTCGTTGCCAGCGCAAACCGCGACAGATCCGAAGCCAATGACGATGACGATGAAGATGACGCGCTGCTACAGAACATTCCCTTTGTCTGCATCATCTGTGAAGAATCATACAAGTCGCCCATAATCACGCGATGTGGACATTACTTTTGCGAGCCGTGTGCGTTGAAGCGGTTTCGGAAGGATCCGACTTGCGCAGCGTGTGGCGCCGGGACAAATGGAGTCTTCAACTCTGCAAAGCGCTTGAATAAGTTGCTGGATAAGAAGCGTGAGCGGGAAGCGCAGAGACGGCAAGCAGCTTTAGAGGCCGGCGAAGAAGTTAGCGATCAAGAAGACGAGTGAATGTTGGCCGGGCCGAACATTTTGTACTGATATGTTGCAATGGATTGGACCGCGTTTATCAGCACGAGATCATGATGGCGTGATGGCGGATGGAATCGAGTTCTTTCTTTGTTTCAAGATGTTGAGAAAAACTCTGGGACTAGTTATAAGGGTGATGTATCCATGTATATCAGCGGCGTTCGGCGTGGTAAATCATACGGTTCTTTTCTTTTTTTCCTTTTTCTAATCTTTGCTGTTAAAATACCGGGTAGCGTGACTGCCGACGTGACTTCGTTATCGATAAGATAGATAGCTACCTACCTAGGCATCCAACGCGCGGGGCCCCTGTTTCTGAGGGCAGCAAACCCGTCACAAGACCGTCAAAAATCGTCATGAGCTGGTCAAAAGTCTGACAAGCTAGCTGTCTTGTAATAGCTGATGAGACTGGGGACAAGTCCTAAGAATACCTACCCCTCTGCGCGCGCACCATTGGGTACGTACCTACGGAGTGCTTAGGAACCAAAGAAACCTCCCACCTCTGCTCTGCAGGCAAGGTCTCGATGAACCCCGCCGAGGCCCACCTCGCTCCAATCAGGGACGCCGTCACCCCACCACCCCCTCCATGTGATCCGCCTCGCTGTGCCTGGCAGCTCGTCACTCAGGCGGAGCAAGTCATCAGGCAACTACGTCTTTCGGAGCTGGTCTCTTGTTCATCTGCTCACGACCCCCGCGAGATCCTGCCGTCTTTCAAAGCACCGGCTAGAATCCCGGACGTGACATCTCATTTCCGATAGATTCTGCCTCAGCGTGCCGTATCAACCCGACTCCCATAGGGGTGCCTGGCTTTCAAGATAGCTTCTCACCACTCACCACGACACATCTAGCTCCCCGAGCCACGAGGAGCCATGAACTACATACGGTCGACCGTCAATACTCTCCGGGACCGGTACACCCCTGTATCACACAACTCGACATTCCGCCAGACCGGTCAAGTCACCCCGGAGGAATTCATCGCCGCGGGTGACTACCTGGTGTACAAGTTCCCTACGTGGTCCTGGGGCGACGCTGACGCCGAGGATCGCCGGGTGAGCTACCTCCCTGCAGGGAAGCAATACCTCGTCACCAGGAATGTGCCCTGCCACCGAAGGCTGAATGACGACTTCGCCGGAGACGCGGGCCACGAGGAGGCCATCGTCAACGACGGCGAGGACTTCAAGCGCGCGGGAGGCGCGGCGGACGACGACGGCTGGCTACGAACCGGCGGGCTGGCGAGCTCGCAGCCCCTGAAGGCGAGGGACGTCAGGGCGGTCGATGATGCGGGCAACCTGGCCGACACAACAGACCTATCTGATGACATTCCCGACATGGAGGATGAGGACGACGACGACGCCATTATCCGTGACGCCTTCCTCCCGGTCCCCTGACCTCTGCCCTCTTACAGGTGTGTGATGGCTGACCCGCGTCGCTCCACAGCGGACGACGAACATACACTCTGTACATCATGTACTCGCCGTATTACCGGACTCCTCGTCTCTACCTCTCGGGCTACCTGCCCAACGGACAGCCCCTGCCGCCGCAGAGCATGATGGACGACATCGTCGGCGACTACAAAGACAAAACCGTCACCCTCGAAGACTTTCCCTTCTTCGCCAACAACATCAAAATGGCCAGCGTGCACCCATGCAAGCACGCCTCCGTCATGAAGACACTCCTTGACCGAGCCGACGCAGCTCTCCGTATTCGCAGGGACAAGCTCCGGTCCGGCAAGGCCGTCGGCAGCGATCCCGGCATGGAGGGCCTCGTAGACGAAGTAGCCAAGCTAGATGTCAAGAGCGCACAGGAAGCCGCCGACAAGGATGAGTGGGAGGAAGTCGAAGGCGTGGATGCTGACGAGCAGGAAGTCGCCATCCGCGTGGATCAGTACTTGGTCGTTTTTCTCAAGGTTCGTCACGAGCCCATCGCATCTTGCGCATCCGAGCTGTCGAGAAGACGCGTCACGGCCCAAGGTGGACGCGACAAAAACTAATCGATATTTTCCAGTTCATGGCAAGCGTTACACCCGGCATCGAGCACGATTTCACCATGGGCGTGTGAGCAGCATCTACGTGACTGGGCATGCGTGGTGTGACGGGCATGCACGGTCTTTATGCACGGTGCCAATCTCCGCCAGTTACTCGGTTACTGGGTAGCCTTTATGTTTTTTCCCTTGAACGAGTGTTGCGGTATAGATTCATTACATGGCGAACGCTTGCGTATTTTTGGCCTCGGACGAGTATCTCGATTGGACCTTGAGATGCCTTGACGGAGACTTTTGTCACGAGTTTTGCCGCCAAGACAGTTGTCACTCTTGCTGAGGACGAGGATCGCCAAATCTTTGGCTTGGAAAACCAAGTCACTGTTTGATAAAGTCGGATTTTTCATTCTTTTTCCTTTTTATTCTTTTGCAACTCGAATGCAACTCGAAGCTGTCGTATATTCTTGCCCTGATTGGCTAGGGATATGTAACGATGAGAATGAGATATGAACGTGAGAGAAGAATAAACTGAATCGTGCCCTCCAGTCGCACGCCCTGACCTCGAAATGCTATGATGCTGATGAAATGCCACACATCCATCTACCCATGAGTCCCATCCATGCCAACCGCCTACGCAGGCCGTAATAATGAGTCCATGTCAATTGCGCCACTGATGGCGCATGGGGTGAAACCAAGAACAAAGAAATGGGTATATATGGTGGAAGCGTGATTAGACAATGTTTTTTTCCCTTTTTGAAACAAAACCCCTGCGCATCGTCATACAATATTTTCTAGCCCGTTCTGGTTTCGATGGATTGATTCATGCCGTGCCAAACGGAGCACCAAAGTTGCAAGTATTCTTGAACTTTAGCGCAACATCTTGCTCAACGCTGGCCTTTCCTTCGCCGTCATCTCCTCCATCATCGCTTGCCATGTCAGCAGTGGCTTGTTCCGGGATTCCACCATCTTCAGGTGGGAGCTCCTGGAGCACCGCAGGCGGGTTCTGGGTAGCCTCAATCTCCGGAGATTGGAGGACCTTGGGTAATGCGTCCTGACCCCGACTGATGGGATCCAGCCTCTGATTGACCTGTTCCCAAAATACTTCGTCCTGGGCTGGTATATTCTTTATCATAAGCGGTCCTTTGAGATGGACATCGTCAGAAGGCTCCAGGTAGCCCTCGTCATCATGATTATTCCCATCGTCCACCTGCTTGTCGTTGCCGATGTTCTCTTTGCCACATTGGCCTCTGCCATCAGAATGGTCGCTGAGATCTGTGTCCTCATGCTGATCAGCGAACCCGGAAGATGCCCATGCAGTCGGCGTGGTCTCCTGGCTTCTAGCAGCAGCCGAGCTGCTTTCAGTAGCAGTCATGGTGGGAAATAGAGACAGGGAATGGTTTGGTGTGTGCCCAGCGTGCATCGTTAGGCGTCGAGACTCATCGGTTGCCAGCAGTTGCTTTGTTTGGTCTTTTGAGGAAGTGAGAGGAGTGAGACCGGATCGAAGCCGGTCGAGTCGGAACCTTTCTCGTACGGGAATCCCAGTCTTTTGTTTGCGGGGGCTATCCTTGTGAGTGCTTGTCACTGGCTTAGGAGCATGGGGCGGGCTGGGAATGTTGCCGGGCCAGTTACATATTGCTGAGTCAAAGGTTGGTTTTTGAACGGCGGTAGCTTTAATCGGGATACCCTCCAATTTGGGATCTATTTTCTGGATATCAATGATGGGACCATCGACATGAGATTCTGGTGATGAAGAGGAGAGGAAGTCGGTAGCGATAGACTTTTGAGGCACTGTACGAGGACTTAGCGGTATATGAAGGCCGTGTGCAGGAGCAGCCGCAACAGGAGAGGTACAAGGACTAATCCCTTGCTTGGCAAATTGACGAGGACGGCGAGTAGCGCCCTCTAACCCAGGTGGTAAATCGAGGGATGCGGAAGCCTCGCTGGCACTTTGGGCTCCCCGCCAAAAGGATCGAGGGGGAGGAGATATGGTTGAAGGCAGCGAGGGTGAGTTGCTAGTATTTGCCTCCCCACTGCCGCTTTGCAGACTGTTGTGAGGCGACATTAGGCCGGGGTTACGTGCGGTATAGGAGGCAATTGATTTGAGGACGGTGTTCTCCCCCTCCAAACGCTGGATGCGCTCTCTGAGACTTTGTATAAGATGAGACATCTCTGCCCTCTCCTTGAGCCATTGCTCGCTCATTTCGTCAATGACTGACTGCTGGTCCCGATACAGCTGTTCGGCTTTTCGTCGGAGGATATCGAGGTTGTCTCGCTCAACTCTCCAGTTATTAAGCAATGAAGAATGTGCAGACAGTCCGCTATTTAGTCGCGTTGGCGTCTGGGGAGGAATTGCTGCGTCGGCAGACACAGATCTTGCCAGAGCACCTCCAAAGTGCCAGGGGGTAGGCGGTGAGAGCGAGCAAGAATTGGGATGAAAATAAGCACCGGCTTTGCGTTCAGGAGAGTTGGAGGCGGCAGCGGCAGCAAGAGGTGATATAGAGTTGGGCATGTTCAATGGCGACGGCGTATCCAAGGGCATTCCAGCCGAAGCAAAGCTGAAATGTGACGAGTCGGCGCTGGGACGGTTTCTCGGGTGGCTCTGCGTGGCAGGTTCCCGGGTCGGTGGACTCGGGGAGGAAGTTGAGACATTACGGTCGGGTTGGCCGTCGCAGTGATTCGAGGCGTCTCCGGAGGGAGTCATGATTGAAGTTGACTGTGATGCATCAACGGCGGAATGTGATGCTGAGCCGTCGGTTGGGGACGTCGATGGCACCAGAATACAGAAGAGCGTCCCAGATGCGCTTCGTCATCAGGGCAAAGGAGAAGGTCGCATTCGAGACTGTGCAGTCGTAGAACCGAGAGGCGTATTTACTCTCCCCGTGCCCTCGGGGGCCGGGGGAGACAGTCGACAAGTTTTGTATTCAGGACCGAGGTCAAAGCCGGGCGACGACAGCGCAGAGGACGCGAGTAAGCGTGAGAAGAGCAGCAGTAGACGAAGGGCCAAACCGGCACCGAGAGCAAGGACGGGTCGGAGAAGGGCCGACAGCAGGCTGCGATGGCTGCCAGGGCCGGGGAATGGTCTCGTGGCTGGCTGACGAGGCTGGCCGGAATGACGAGGATTGGACGAATGGGCGGCGCCGCTTCGAGTCAGGCTGACAGCAGGTGTTTGGTGATTCTGTGCGACCCCAAAATATGCCGGCGGCCCAGATTGACAGACGAAAAGAATATACGCAGCAGGGAGTATGGAGTAATGGAACTGGCGAGAGGCGACTGGCTGAGACTGGGTGTGTGTGTGTGCGTCCAAGTGGTATTGAGGAAGCAATGGTATTTGTCGTCTTGGCCGAGCAGGCTCGGTATGGAGTACTCGGCACGGAGTATATGAAGAAGAGAAGCTCGACGACGACGAGCTCCTGCAGGGGCGAGATGCAATGACAACGCACGCTGACGGCGGCGTTGGGGTCGAGTAGATATTGAAAGAGTTGAAAGGGTCGTCGACGCAAGACAAGAAGCGAAAGTGACGAGGTGTACTCCGTACTCCGTCCGTGCTCGGGGGGTGAAGTATCGAGTACCGAGAACCGAGAACCAAGAACCAGGGACTTCACAAGGGTACCTGCCTGGTACGTGCGGACTGCGGGCTACTAGTACTCCGTAGTGCGGTGCAAGCGTGAATGAATATTGGACGTGATGAGGAAGGTGAGACCCGGACATTTGGAGCTGGGCGGCAAGCAACCCAACCCAGCGCCGCCAGGGACCCGGCAGTGCAGTGCAGTGCAGAGTGCAGGAGTGCAGGCGTCCAGGACACAGCACGGGAAAAGAGGCGTGTCGGGCGGGCGAGGACAAAGTCACTCTGTACATACACCACTCCGTAGATGTTGACTTGGTCGAATCAATCGATGCGTGGCCCTTGCTGGATGGGGATGGACCCTCACGGCTGGTCGAGTCTGGTCTGTCTGTCTGGTCGGCCCGGAACGATGAACCGCGGTCCATGTGCGCCTGCGCCGGGCTCCATCCAGCCTGCCAGGCCAGGTGCCAGGCTCCAGCGTTGCTCGCGGCACAATTGCCGGGGCATTTACTGCCCATGTGGGCCTCGCCAGGGCCTCGCCAGGGCCTTGATCCTGCATTGGGCTCACCAAGAGCGAAAAGGGCCCCTGGTGCCCCCCCGGCCAGCCAACCACAGCTTGCCATGTCCTCGCCTCGGTTGAGGGTTGAGCTGAACCCTACGACTTCTCCGAGAATGCAGATGACCCGACCATTGCTCGCCTTCCTGACCTGACCTGACCATTGTAGTTGACCTGACCTGACCTTTCCTAATTAGGCAGTATATATCCCGGAGTTAACCCGAACACCTAACCTTAACCCTTACCCTAGCCTTAACCCTAACCCTAACCAGTGCTTTTAAAATTAAGGCCCCACTAAATTCTCCACTAGCAATGGTCAGGTCACCTCAGGTAGGCGAGCAATGGTCGGGTCATCTACACTCTCGACTTCTCCCGTCGTGGGGCGGCCGATCCGTTTTCCACATTCCACATTCCACATTCCATCAGTTTCATCCTCACGTCGCGGATCTGAGTCGGCAGTTGGGCGGATTGCGAATCATCAACGCGTCAACTTCAACTTCATTTGCTGCCGGTCTGTCAATCCGTCGACACACGTGCACTTGGTCATCTGGTGTGATCCGCCTCTGGCCCCCTCCAAAGCCACCCGCAATAGAATAATAAACAGTATGCCGACAACTCTGTCCAACTCCCCATCAACTGGCGTCACCGAGCAATACGTCCCAGTAACTCATGGTTGATCCTTTCAGACGCCCTGGGCTGCCGTTGTTGGTGCGAAGCATCACCCACCACGGTTAAAGCTTGCATCGTCACCACTCGTCTTCGTCCCAATCGGAACCTCGTCCGCCAACCCGGTGCGTCTCAGCCTGAAATATGGCTGCCGCCCCGAGTAGTTACCAGCCCTGGTGAGCGAGCCACTCAATATCTCGTGCTTCCGCAGCTCGGTATTGGCGACGTGGACCCGTGTCAATTTATGCATAACGGACAATTTTCACGGAAAAAAGTGATGCAACGCAACGCAACCACGCCGACATGTCTGGCATGAGGCTATTCGTCTGTTCCGAGAAACCATGCCAGACCACGTCCTTCTTTTCCAATAGTACTTGGCTGAGGCTTGCTGTAGCACAGCACCACTGAAGCCGCCTGCCTGTTGGCCATTATGAGTGAATTTCTTGCATGCTCGACGGCATCGACCAAGGACAAAGAACCAACAGAACGGTCCATCAGATATCAGATGCCAGACCCCCCACCGCATTTCACGACATGACTGACCATGGCTGTCTCGTCTCTGGCCGATGAGCTGGCAATGCAGCTGCTCAAGGTCAGCTAGTTGATCCATCGCGAGAGCCGGGTCCCATGTGAGCCCATGACCGCTTCGAAGCGGCAAACGAGCAAAATTCCCGGCAATGAATCCCACCAGTGGTATATTCTTCGGACGAGCGGCCCCTTTCATCACATGCTTTGTGAGTTGCTGTCCTGTCAACATCGTAGCCAATGTGACGTTCCCTCAATGCGACCAGGCTTGCGTCTCCATCTCGCGTGGCATCGTGCGGAATCACATTTGGCTCAACATGCGCCCTGTGCGGACCCAGACGAGATGATGCCGGTCGTCCTAGGGGAACCCTCTCACAGAGCAAAAGCCGACTCCCCTCTCGGTTCCCATCTAGTCATGTGCCTTATCAAGCACGCGCCGTTGATGCTTCAAGCCCGAGACACGCAAGGGCCTGGGAGACGTGCAGGAAGACGGCCAACAGTGACCTTTTCCCCATCTTCCCAAAGGGCACATTAGTTCCTGCTGCCCTGAGTGCATTTTCCGCCGCGGTTCCTTGTCGCGACGGGGACGAGTCCAACAGAAAAACCACCGGGTTGTTGTTTCCTGAGCAATCCTCGCGCCAACTCTTGCATGTCCTTTTTGGCACTTGAGAGCTCTTGATTCTGTTGCACGACAAGGTAAAACCCGTCTTACTAGACCAGATCTATATAAGAACGTCTTGCAATATATGTCTCTGTGTATATGCTGTATATATAGATACAAATGTTGGTTTTTTTTTAAAAGACAGAAAAAAAGCTTCAACGCTTGATATCGGGGATTTCAAGGACCCTATAGCTGGCCAGGTCCTCCCTCTTGTCCACTCACTCATCACTCATTCGTCAAACACCATCGTCGTCACAAAGGCAGAAAGAGACTTGAGGAACCACCAAATGCAATCAATGAGCACTAATCAATCCTCGTGGTGCGCGTTCCCATCCTTTAGATGTCACAACGCTCGCTCTCTTCTCCGCCGCCCTCATCCCATAGACTGTCCCCCGAGGTCTCCAACTCATCAGCTGCGACATATCCCATGTCTCTTGTGCGATGAGGCACCCACTTCCGAGCAATGCCCTTTTTCGTATCATCTACACGACGCGCCTGATAGATGCAACCACTTCCTGGCGCGTTTCTTGCATGGAGACTTTCACAAATGTGATCTTGTACATGGGACGCCTTGGTCCCCAGTGTCTGTTGCTCATGCGGCACCAGGTCGAGGAAGAGAAAGATCCCCAGACCCCTGCCAACGTAGTTAGTAGCTGACGACTGTTGCAAAAGCAGCAGCCGGCCATGCCATGTCAGCACGACGCAACGTTGACATACAAGGTCTGAAATACGTGGGAAACGCAACTTCTCCGTGACAGAGCCCATGGACATATCGAATGCTCAGTCAGAGAGACAACGGTAGGCCCGCACAAGTTTTGGCGTTGCAAAGTTCGAAATCTCCAACAGCGGCAATGCAACCCCGCCAAGGGCCTTTCCGAACTACCCATGGAGAAGTTGACCGTTGCCTCGTGAGAAGCCGTTCGTTGGAGGACCCCCCTTGGCCAGCGATGAGGCGTGCTGTCCTGGGCGGCGTCACCGTCACCGAATTCCCTCGTTGTTCTTGCATGACGGGCTCCCAAACTTTCTGCTGAATTTAAACCCGTCTGAACGGTGTTCGTTGGCCATTTCTTGTCTGACTTTATGCTGCAGACTAGGAGTCCCGCCGTCCAGCAGCGGCGTCACTCATGCTCAAACTTCAAACCGGTTTTAGATGGACAGGGAAGCGGGACCGCCATTGCTCATCATAAATAAGTGTTGGCTCCTGGCGCTGTTGCTTGCGTCACGCTGGCGTGGGATACTTGCTTTCTAGTGTCCTGCTGTGCTGCTAACGTTTGTAGCAATCATCGAGGTTCTTCTGCTTTTCTATGAGATCGACAGCCTCATCTAGCCTTGCTTCTGGTTTGCATAATTCTTGTAATTGGGTGATGTAAATCATGTCCACAGGTTTCTAGGTCTGTAGCTTTCTCCCATTGAGAAAACATTAAACCCAAGGCTGGGTCTACGTTCTCGGGCGGAGGCTCCGGTCGAGACCGTCATGTAGAGAGGGATTTTCGGAACGAGCGTCGGCGAGTACAAGTGTAGCCCTTGAACTGATGAAAAGATGGCCGTCGCCCCGTCTGGCCTTCTTCTTGCGCGTTGTGTGTGCCATGGTATGCTGTGGACTATCAATATCAATCATGGACTGAAATGCCTCTCAACTGTCCGGGCAACTTTGCACCAAGTTCCAATCACGAGGGTGAGGCGTATCGTGAGGCGCCAGCATCTGGCACACTGGGAGATTCCCTCCCAGCTCAAGCATATGCCGGAGATGTGAGGAAGAAAAAGGGTCTGAGCTGCGCTTTGTCGGTCAGCGCTCTGTCGAAGGACTCCATCCTGTTGTGCCTTTGCCGTTCGCGATCGGGCAAAGTCGGCAGGGAAACCATCGTCCAAGGGACTTTGCGAGGCAAATACTTGGTAGTGTACCAACTACTGAGGCGCAAGAGAGGTTTGAAGCAGACCAGATACGTGGCTACGGTGCGATATACTGTAACAAAGATATTACGGCACCAAGGGCGAATACACTGCTGCATGGACTGTGTCTTTGCTTCCGTGGTCCCCATCTCCGCTTGGTAGTTGCCAGGACCTTCACGTGAAGTTTGGCTTCGCTTGCAGACGGTTTTGTCGGCTCACGGTTCGTTCCGGAGTACGGCAAGACGCGCTGTACGGCGTACTCCGCATTGGGTTTTGAGTAGAGAACGGGAGCCAAGTGGACGAGCTGTTGCTTGGCCATGATGTAATATCTCTCTATCCCCGTCCCCGCCACCTTTATCGGCATCGGAAACGCGAGCGAAGCGTGGTCGCAAAACTAGCGGGCCTAGCCCCGTGTGTGTTTGATCGCCAGAAAGTCGGAACGACTTTCTCCTGATAGGCCGGAGGTAGAGTCCAAGTGAAGCTTGCTGATAAGCTTGCCCAGTCGTTATGAGGTTTCATGCAACCGAACATGCGAGGAAGGACTCGGCAGACTCCGACCGCTCCGACCGCTCCAACCCTCTGTCACCTCCACCCATCCACCATTGCGGTTTCTGACGCAGTGAGACTCAGGGGCGGAGCGGGGTTTCTTGCCAACGTCCACGCGGATGACCTGACGGTGTCGAGTGCGACGGCCTCGGAGACCAGTACTCCGTACGAGATCTATGTCGCGTGCCGTTGGTGGTGCACGCTGTTTGTACACAAAGCCTCTTCGTAAATGCGTGGACGGACGGACCATGGCCGGCTCTAGACTCGGGAGGCTGCTCGCCTCGATCAACTGTGGGCAAGGCAGAAGATGCCATGGCGGATCTTGTTGGATGCATCTGCAACGTGCATCATGACTGTTTCATCAGTCTGTGCAAGCTGCGCACTGACCAACTTGACCCGGTGATGTACTCCGTACACTCCGTACATAACACAGGTCAGTCTTCACCGGAAATGCTTGATTCCGATGTCAATATGCATGCACGGACCACGTAACTACTCCGTACCCGGTATCTACAATCAACCCCCTGCAAGTTGGCCTGACAGGGAAGTATGTGGGGGGTTTTGTGCAGGGACCTTGGAGTCGACGGTAACTCGGCTTATTTCTCGCAGTAATTGTTAACCACGAAAGTACAGATTGAATGACTGGGAAGTAATCGGAGACTTACTTTATCTTGATGAGAGGTTTTTGCTGCCCCCATGCCTTCTGTAAAGGCCATCTCTTATTGGCCCGGACCTCCCCTACTGTGTCACTCCGTACACAAGGTATACATGTCGAGGACTAGTGGTCATAACTTGGTACTTGTGCGCGCGCTTCATCCACCGGAGAATGAAGAGTGCATCTTCGAGCGTTTCATGTCTCGAGGACAGACACCCCGCGTTTATTTTGCACATCACCAGGTGAAAATCCTCCTCGTGACGACTGAAAATGTATCGCGTTTGTGGGCGGTCAAATGCTTGGGAAAAAAAAAAACCAAACAGATATCAAGTGTTCATGTCGCCGCTCAGGGGCACGTCTCTGCGTTCTCCCCAAATAGTGAATAGAACCTCACCACGAACCACAAGAAAAGAAACCGCCCGGCCCATGTCATCATTGCAAATCCAGTATGCCGCGCCTCCCTCCTCCCGAGCTCGCTGTGACAGTCTCCGCAATCCTCGTACGGAGTAGTCGCTAGGGCGACTGCCACGGTGAAGGGAAAAGTATAAAACCAGTTCGTCGTGATATACCTCGGAGGATATCTCACACGCACACGACGGCCAGTCTCCATCGTCGGCACCCGTCCTCAGGAAGAATTTTACATACTCCTAGTATTCGGGGAACCAACCTGCCTCCTCCCAATCAACCAGTCCCAGGATCTTGTCATTGGACACCTCCAGTCCCCGTGCGTAAAGACAATGTAAAGGACATTCCTCTGCTGGCGGGCGAAGGCGTTCCGGACTGGTCTCGGCGTGGCATGAGACAGGCTTAATACCAGCTACCTGTTGAGCTCGTCCTCGTTGACCAAGGACGGAAAGTAGTGCAAGCAACGATGCCTCAAGTCCCGGCACTCCCTGCCGCTACAGGCACCCACCAACCTAGGAGGAGCCTGTAACGTACGCATGGTGGTGAGGATCCTGCGGAGTTGGACGGCGACGCAACGCTTCTGACGGAGGGTCATGGTGGGCCAGACTTCTGACAAGGGCCGGCCTTCGACCTGACTCATATGGAGAATGTTGATGCCGCCGGGCTGGCTGTCAGTGGCGAGTTTTCGGGGCACGGGGAGTCCTGCACGGGCAGCAACTTGGAGGGCTTCGGCTTCCTCGAGGGAAATGTCTTTGCCCGACTTGATCATGGTTTTGTCTGGGCAACAGGTGACGCTTCTGTCCGAGGTGCTGTAGAGCAGGACAGAGACTGCTTCGAGCCAAGACGTTTGACTAGAAAGGTTGAAGGGAAAAGGGTTGGATGGGGAGAAGATTGGCAACGGCGTCTCGTACCATCTGATTCCACGCCAAGTTGATCATGGTCGACAGTCGACGGTGATGGCGCTTGCGCACTTTCATCCAACTGCCCCAGATATTTCCACACGACGTCGGAACTGCCCAGCAGTCTGGGCTCCGCACCAATCCCTACCACAGGTGTCTCTTGCGTCGCCATCATGGACGATTGGAAGGCGAAGGAGAGGGGTATTCTGTGAAGTGAACTGGAACGAGTTGCGACTCATGGGCGCTGAGGCTGCGGCCGCGGCGCCGGTACAAACAGCGTCGAGTACACGCTTGGTTCGAATTGGTTCGCTTTTTGTGTTACAGGCAACAGCTCTTCGTAGGAGCGTGGGATGTGACTGATCTCATGCACTGCCCGCGTCTAGCAAATGTCGTGCAGTTTGGCAACAAAGTTGACTGCATAATCAACAAGAAAGGCCACTGTAGCTGCTCCATAGTCGGTATGCTATACCTCGCGTACAATATTGCGGCACAGAGAGTAGCTACAGCATCCCGCCACTCCTGTTTGCAGAGTACGAGGCAATTCACGAGCACTCGGTCTCGATGGTGGTGGCATTTGCAGGAGTGATTCGGAAATATGTACCCTGTTCCATTCAGTCTGCCCTCGTACGGAGTAATTGCTTACTTCTTCCAAGGACAAGGGCCGGTTGTCAGACGATTTTGATGGACGGTCGCCTTGACGTGCCAACGGGTTTGTAGAACTGAACGTCAACGTGTCATGATGTGCTGTGCTCAAAGTGTTCAAGCCAAGAAGCGCCCCGTGTCTGCATTTGTGCGGTGATGAGCGAGGACAGTAAGCAAAAAAAAACAAGAACAAGAATAAAAAAAAAGAAAGGGAAAAAAGATGTAAAAAAAAAAAAAAGGAAAGATCTAGGAAAAAGGGACCCCATACGAATAAAAAGTCCATGAAGAATCTAGAACTTCTCCGTCATACGTAGTCTAATAGTAATGACAGAAAAGTTACTGGCCAGCCGGATTCCGAGCGCCTGTTTCATGCACACCATATACCAGTCGATCGTGTCATTTATCAAACATTGCAAAAGGCGGTTGCCTTACACCACTTCGCCAAACTTCAAGGGTCACCCCCCTGTCGATTGGTGCGGAAACAAAACGTACTGAGAGCCGAATAGTGAGAGGAAGAGTCCAGGCCTTCCCTTCATGCACCTCTGTCATTATTTTCTTGGACAAGGGTCCCAGCATAATTGTAACAAAGGACAAAACAAGACCAGGCCAATCTCCACCTTGCACAGCATGAAACAAATAGAAGCAAAATGTGCCAAGGGAACCAAGGCCAACAGGAATGGAAATCGATACCAAATGTCTGTACCTTCCATCCCGGGCGTCCGAAAAACACAATAAATGCACGAGATCAGTGTGCCCCAACGCCAGTCCGCCCGCCTTGTGAATGACTCCAGCTCGCTCAGAATCGAGACCCAACATAGTTAATACCGCGCAAAACACACACGCACCAACCTGGGTGACTGTTTCCCGGGACTCGGCCGCCCGCTCTTTGTGCCGGGCTTTTTTGATTGCTCAGTTTCGTGTTCTCCAATTGGCGACTCGCCAAATGCGGCTGTCATGGAACGGAGCGTTGTCTATCACTGCCCGTTGAACCAGACAGCGACCGGAAATATTTTGCAGCAGGAGAAAATGGGGCATGTGTACCAACTAGATGAACATCAAGGATGTGACAAGCAAAAAAGAAGAAGAAGAAGAAGAAAAAGAAAATCCTCTAGAGACCGTATACCAATGCCTTTGACTCGTAAATGCGTGGCGATTTAGATCGCAGTTGCAGATCATCTAGTAAGTAGCAATAATAAGCTCCGTGACACAACTACGACGTCGATGATTAGACGGCATCGGTGGTGTTGTCGTTGCTGCTGCTGCTGCGAACATGGCCATAATGCGGCTCCGGGAGCTCATCCGATGATCCCTCGAGAACAGTCTCGAGCATCCGATTGAAGCCATCATCTCGTTGTCGTTTGGTCAAGTGGCCTTCGGAGACCATGGACGTAAGCGCTCCCCAAATCCACTGCTGACCATTGAACTCGAGATCGTGGTTTTCGATGGGGACGTCGCGAAGAATCTTGATCAGTTCTCTGGCAGACAAATTGTCCGTCGTGTCCATATGAATGAGCGGGAGAGCGCTTCCGGTGCAGGTAGGATCCCAGTTTTCCTTGACCTCGAACTTGTAGTTGTGTATGGCGCCCTTGACGTGAACATAGTACTGCGATCCCTCTTCGCACGGAACAAACCAGAGACCAGTTCGTCGCTGGTGAGACGTGTCTTGGATGCTTCCGCGGTGAACCACGATGTGCACGTAGAATTGTTGGTGCTTGTCCATCTTGAGAGCACGGGCGGAGGCCGGTATGTCGACGGACAAGAGTAGGCAAGGAGAGGCGAGGCGAGGCGAGGCGACAGAGAGAGGCCGAATATGAGAGAGAGAGAGGGAGAGAGAGAGAGAGAGAAGGGGGGAAGAACGAAATGAAGGAAGGAAGAGATGGAGGTAGAGAGGCAGGGAATGTGGCTCGCTAACGGAACAAGAACCTATGTTGACGACGAAGCTTGTTGGCGACAAGAGGGGAGAAGGGAGGGAAAAATAAAAGAAAAGTGAAGAAAAGAAAACTTTGGCTATATATGTACGCACTCGAGGGAATTGAAGATGCGCGATGCTATCTTTTTTTTTGGATTTTGGATTTTGGATGATTTTTTTTTTTTTTTCAGAAAAAAAGTGGCCGTGATGGGCGGCCGCATGTACGTACGTATGTGATAATTGTGGCTGTCGTCTCAAGTTCTTTATCAGGAGCAGCTGATGGCCAGAATCGGAAGAATACAGTGCTTTATACCGTCGACGAGATCAAGATTGAGCACTACTTGGCCAGTGATGGTATTTCGACGAGGCGGTGTTCGGTGGTGGGAAGCTCCTTGCTGTTTGTTTGTTCGCCGGCACCTTTGTGCTACGGGATTGAAGGCATCCAAGGTCACTGAGGCTGGCGTTGTGCGTGCGTGCATGTGTCAAGTGGTGTATGTTCAAGCGTCAGGGGCCGATTTCACCATCCAAGTCTGGATGTGTTGGAGACGTGGACTTGACGAGTCGGGCCCTTGTGCGCCGCGGAGCCGACTCGAGCGAGCGAGCAAGGACGAGGTCATGAGAAACTTTGCAACATGGTACTAGACACTAGAGTACCTACTTCTGATGTCTAGGAACCTCTGTGGATCTTGAGGACTTGGACTTGGGAACCTGCCTACTTAAAGTACTTAAGTAAGTACTTCAGTAGGGTACTTAAGGCAGGTACTCACCTCAGCTAGTGCGTGTACCTACCTGTACCTGCGCCGATAAGCACGGGCGGCCTGGGTTGGGTACCCAGGTTACTATCCCGCGTACTTGAGTAGATTTATTGAACTTTATATTGACCTCGGGTCCTAGATGTGTCCATCAACCTACTTACTTACGTAAGTACTCACTCAAGTACTTCTTAAGTAAGTACGCAGCACTTTAGCAACGAACCGATATGCGCGCTGGCACTTGGCGAACCGAGTCCCAGTCGGCGTTCCCGGGCCTTTACCATGTCCCCCCCCGCACCCCATCTTGAATAGAGAGCTAGGTCTCCTGTAGGGTAGCCAGGGCTTACTCGGGAATAATGCATCATCAGGGCAATCAACAATCATCGTGACAGGCCAACAGCGGCCTGGCGCCTCGGGCGGCTGAGCTGTCCACCGGCACCAGTGGTTGAGCCTGCGTCTGGTTCATTGTTGAACCGCCGACGTTCCATGGCCAAGTGCCTCGGCACCTCGGTACTCACTTTCTCAAGTACCGAGCCCGCCAGGCCGCGACCTGGTGGCCCTCTGGACGGGTATGGCGGCAGGAGCCGCTGTCATTGGGGTCCGCGGCCTCCAGAAAGGGTCAAGACTCAGTTCCCTGCAATGGAAGCTAATAACTAACTGGTGCTAATTAGCAACTTGACATGATATGGAAACCTCACCCAGGTGCTTGCCCTCCGCCGCGGCACGGCAACCGCCCGACATTGTCAATCATCATCACCATCACCATCGCCATCACCATCACTGCATGCGTGCGTCACCGTCCGGCTCCCCGTCTCCACCGCCGGCCCTGGCCCTCTTTCTCTCTCTCTCTCGCCATCGTCACAGACGCGAAAAGTTGGGCCGTGTAAGCTCTCGGCCCCAGCTTCCACCAGTAAGCACCCATCATCCATGCGTCAATCCATCCACCAGCCACCCGTCCAACCATCCACCTTTCTCTCCCCCCGGTCCATTTATCGCTTCACCAATCCTTCGTCGACGTGCTCAAGGTTGACACTGGCCAGGTCGGGCAACACTGCCAAGACAGCAGAACCTACCGAGGACTCTGCAAAGATCTGAACCTGCTGCATCTTGCAAGAAGCTGCCATGCCGTCCAAATCTCTGGCTCTTCCTCCGCCCCAGACTGCGCGCATCTTTGCAGAGAGCCGAGAAGACCTGCCAAGATTTCCGTTTACCTGAAAAGCTTCGTTTCTATAAAAAGCACTCCTTCTCTCGGGGTCACAAAACGCACAGCGGGGGCAAACCAACGGACTCAGCGGCACGCTGACACGACATGGCTCTGGTGAGACGGAAAATAAACAAAAAAGGGCCTCGACCAGTCTGTTGCTTTTCTGCAGCTGCTGGCAGACTTCTTGGCAGGGCCCAGACTCGGCTGGTGATCAGACCAGCCAAAATTGGCAATACAATCCAATAGCACAACTCACCACGCGTAGCCCAAGATTCACATTTGCCGCCTCAGGGAACTTTATAACAGTCTCGTACGGCGCACACTGTACTCGTCGGATCGGCTTTAGCCAACTGGGAGACGACTAGTGGTCCATCCTTGACCCGACGGCCGAATCTCCGGGCCTACTCATTCTTGCGTGGCATTCGGAGTAGCATCCAGAATAGCGGGGTTTGGCCGTTGGTCTTGTGACGACGAGCTCGCGGGTGGTCAAAGCAAGCCCTGGAATTCGAATCGCATGCCTCAAGGATCGAACGAGACACACGGCAATTCTTGGAAAAAAATTTTGTCCTTCTCACGCCCGGACTCCCTTCGATGTTCGTCACCGTATCGTCCGTAATGTCATGCGGAGGGCTGACTGTCCAACTCCCGCGGAAAGGGGCGTGTGCGTGGTCGTGTTGGACGTACCATGCAACACCGACGGCTCTTGTCTTCTTCATTATGCAGGTTAAAAAGGAAGACGAGGGGAAACACACTGGGTACATATACATGCCCTTCTTTTATTGTACACGCTTGCCGATGACCTTGCCGTTCTGCCAGCCCCCAAGTTGTACGCACTTTTGTTAGTTTCACCACAAAGGGACAGTTGAGGGCACTGATCTTGACCCTGCATCTTCATCAAACCTTGACCTTGGGTCCATTTACTCCCGAGGTCCGGCGTACAACAGGCTCGAAGACTGTGTCATCTACGCCGATTGGCGCCCTAGCCAGCTCGGCCTGGTTTACAAAAGGTATGTACGGAGTTGTTGTTGGAGGAGCAGTGATGCGGAGATGACATGTACAGACGGGTAGATCAAACGACTACTATGCATTCACAACCCCAGAAGGATTACTCCGCATGGCCTCCCGACATGACGGAGACAACTGCACAAGTGTGAGACAGACCTTTTGCTCAACGTCGCCTGCCGCCCGGCTTTTGCAACAAAGATTGTCGAGACGAGCTTTTTTTTGCATGATTGTAGTGACATTCACGCCCTCCTTTTCCACATGGCTTCGTTGTGTCTGTGTGGAAACCTAGAGCTAAAGTCGACACCGACATCTCTCACGCGCGCCGCGCCCGCTCTCACACCTCCAACAACGCAAAGTCTATACGGCAGTTTTCTAGGCTCGTGTCCAAGACCCAGAGGGCGGGCCTGTGAACGACCAGTCGTGGGCGTGCGGCATGCAAAAAAATCAAGGACAAATCAGTCTATTCTGGAAGAACAATGCCACGCGTAGACCAAGCCGGGGGTGTTTTGGGCGACGACTCCATGTCTCCCCCGTGACAGAGGCGACTTTAACAGCAGTCAGTAGATGGCGATCCGATCCCCGTGACGCGAGCACAAATAAATGGCTGACGGACATAGGCAAGGTTGAAGGATACCAGTCCATTGAACAGGGGGCCAGAGTAGCCGGCGGACGATGTCGTCGCCCGAGTTCGGGTGAGATGCACGAAGCATCTGATCTGAGCCGGCGCCGGCGCCGGCAGTGGCTACACATGGTCACCTTGCTAAGCTCATCTGCCGGGTCTAGCTTGCGACACTGCGCGGGTAGATTCCAGTCTTGGGACATGTAATAGGCATGCTCGGAAGAGGTGTTGATAGCCAGGTCAAGCCAGGCAGAACACACACGTCCCTGCATCTGCCAGCGGGTCGTCACATCCAGCGGACCTGACTATTATATTAGCCTTGGTGTCAGACTCTTGGTCATTCATTGCATGCAAGACTAGGTAGTCAAGTCGAGATGGCATCGGGATGACATGACGATGACGATTCAAGACAAGATTCTGGTCGAAAAGCACCGAGCACAGCACAGGGCTGTCAAACTGGTTCTGCCGTCATTCTCCTCATTATTCGCCAGAATTGGTGTATTTTCCCCCATGTTTTTAAAGATGGAACAAAGGAGCGGTGCTTATTTGGTACCTGCAACCTCACCAGCGGCGAGGCACGATAGAGATACTCCGAGGGCCAGGCTGACCTCCTCAAGGGCCATGGCAGACACGTGATAATAAGCGCACGCCGAGTCCCGACCGCGTACACAATGAACGGTGAGCGTGCTCAGCAGCCCACCTACTCCCGGTGATGCAGGATCGACGGTCTGCAACCTGGGACCTGATATCAAATAGGGGCGGCGCCAAGCCGACCTCATCGCCCAGTGAAACTACAGCAGTGTGTGAAATGACGGATCTTGTCCAATACCAAGAAACGCTCGCGGGTCGCCGTGCCACCCCAGTAGACAATCACGGCTAGACCTCTCCCCTACCGAGACATCAGCACAGACGCTCACCCAGACCGATATGCTCAGCTCAGTCCAGAGTACATACAAGCACTTGTACGTACTCCGTATGGGAACGATGCTGGTCTATAGTGCTCTTTACCTACGCGTCCTTCTCGAGTTGGAGAGTAGTGCACTGTTTTTACTGTCTGATTTTGCGTCCGAAATGAGATGGCCGCCGTGGGCCCTTGGACGCTTCACGTCTACTTGGTCAGAGAAAGCGCCCGAGTGTCATCCTCGACTTGGCAAGTAAGACAACCTTTCCGTGCTGACCGGGCGGTGTTGGTGTTGGCTGTGTTTCCACTTGGCCTTGTAAGCAGCAGAGA